GATGGGCGGCGCTACTCCCTTCGAGTGCGTGAGAAGAAGAAGTTGTTGTTGTTCTTGTTGTTGTTGTTGTTCTTCTTCTTCTTCTTCTTGTTGTTGTTCTTGTTGTTGTTGTTGTTGCTGCTGTTGTTGTTGTTGTTGTTGTTGTTGTTGTTGTTGTTGTTGTTGTTGTTGTTGTTGTTGTTGTTGTTGTTTTTGTTTTTTGTTTTTGTTGTTGTTGTTATTTTTTGTGTTCTTGTCGTTGTTGTTGTCGTTGTTTGTTGTTGTTGTTTTTGTTTTTGTTCTTGTTGTTATTTTTTGTGTTCTTGTCGTTGTTGTTGTCGTTGTTGTTGTTGTTGTTATTGTTGTTGTTGTTCTTGTTGTTGCTAGTGTTCCTGTGGTTGTGGTTGTGGTTGTGGTTGTTGATGTTTTCAGCCTGTTAGGTTCTGAAGACCACTTTTTTTGGATCAACACAAACAATTGGATGATGCGTTCCCGGGTTTGTTACCAGATGATTTGATGTGTGAACCATTCACTATGTTCTGCCACTGATACTTCAGTATGTTTCTGATAGCGGATGAGGTTACCAACTGTCAGATAGCTAGGGTATTTGCCCTATTTCCCTAGCTTCAGCAACACAGAAAACGTGAATGCCTTGGAGGTTCCTTCCTCACTCAGAGAACATCGACACCACATCGACATTGATGGGCGGATATGTCAGGTTTCGACAATCCCTTGAGAGCTTGTTTGGTACGAAGACTTGTGCCTTCTAGTTTGGAGTGGTTGGAACTGGTGGCCCACTTCTTGGACTTGAAGGTGCAGAGGAGGAGTATCTTCGTGCTTTCCGGAATCGATCTGACCAAAAGATGGACACATTTACTTGCTGCATTGGTAAGGGAAGAGGCAGCAGCTCTCAACACTGGAACCGGCGAGGCACTAGCAGCGCTTTGAAGCCCAGATGCCTTTGGTCTCCTTCCTATGTAAACAAGCGACCATCTCAGCTCCAACATGCACAGCAATTTGTGAACATCAAAGTGCAGATTTCGTGGCAGGCGCAGCACTTAGTGAACTTCATGGAAGGCAGGCGCTACTGCCACTACCACTGCCACACTACCCTACCACTACCAGACTACTTCCACACTACCATACCACTACCAGACTACCATACCACTACCACTCTAACACTACCACAAGTACAACAAAGTTGTCTTCTCACTCAGAACTTTGTTTGGGGTCTCTTGCTGGCATCATATGAATTGGTGCCTTGCGAGTCATTTGGGACAATTTCTGTTACCCATGCTCAACTGAAATGGGATGGAGCAGCTGTCGGGAGGCGTGGTAGCACTTTGTTCTAAACAAATCCTAGGGATCCAAGTGTCTTCTCAGAGGGCGATTGGAGACACGACTATGTAGCTTTGGACGGATCCCTAATGAAAAAAATCCAGATCTGTGGATTCCTTGGGGTTTGCAGTCTTCGGTTCACCCATGTTCACCCCTGTTCACTGGCCTTAGCTGAGTTTGATGAACCTTAGAGACCTTTAAAAGTCTTAGGTCCTGGGCCTAGGTTCTTGTTTTCTTCCCTGTGGACTCCCCTTCAGCCCCTTCAGGTTGAAATGTTACTGAAGTAAGTGCTCACGAAGCAAACGAGGCCGATCACTGACTCATCAGGATGATCAGGCCGAGTCCCACACTGCCAGGAACTATCCCAGACACTACTGAAGGATGATTATTCCTCCACCAGCCTTCAGTTCACTCACAACAAATAAAAGGGACTCCCGCCAACGGAAACTGAACTCAGGGTTGCTATATGTTCTCCCCCCATTGGCAGCCTCCACCTGATTTCTCGTGTCTTCTCCCAGGTTTCCACGGACCGTTTGGGATGGCTTCGGCTTCAAAAAAGCCGCGCGAGGGCGCTGGCGGAACAACGGGAATGCACCATGAGGGACTTGAGCAAATCGTTTCAGTGAAGACTCCTACTTATACGACTAGTGTACTACTTCTGATCCCGGCTTCTTTGAAGTGGTATCCGAGGGGAGGCCGCGTAGAAATCTGCCGTATCTAATTAATTGGTCTAAGAGAAAAGGATTGTTTAGCTGGTGAACCCTTTGGCAAACCCTTCTATACTCAGAGTTTGGTGAAGCAGCATTAGATCATCAGACATCAGCGATGAAGTCACAGTGGCGTGAAAAAGCACAACTCCTCCTTCAAGTTCATGCACTCAGAATGGGCTTCTTCCTTCGGGAATCCCGGTTCAACCACGTGGCGTGCATGGTAGGATGTGGTAGGATCCTTGTAGGTCATTGGGGTAGACAGTAGACTTCCGCGTACCCGGCGTACCCGGGAAAACAGTGAATCACCCTTCACTAATTTGTTTTTTAGGCAGGGGATTGGATTCTCCACCCCACTGTGCCACTAAAATAAGATGGGATTTCCAGCCCTTCTTCAATTGATTGTCCACAATCTTAAACTTGATGGGCTGATTCTAAGAGAAGAACAGCAACAACAGTTGGTTCGGTTGACTAACACGGCTCAGGACTCAGCAGGGCGTCGTCCAGTTTGCTGGTGAAGAGGGAATGAATCCCCTTTGCCGCCTCCCTCGGCTTTTCTCATTGGTTTGGCCAACCAAACTCTTTGAGGCAAACAAAGGGGGTTCGACTCCTTGTCTTTGTGGCCTTGCACAGGATTCCTTGAATCTAAAATGTTATGATGATTACTGTATACAGTCATACAGTTATACCTGATATTGCATAAATAGTTGCATACATATATCGTTCCAAGATAGAAAGCACTGCAGAAAGGGGGTCCGGAGAGTGTGGAATGCAGCATTCCTGGCTGGTTCCACCCGGATGACGCCCTTAGATTCCAAGGTTTGACTGATGGATCTTTAAGCTAAATAGCGCTAAGTAAGACACCCCTATGGTCTTCTCCTTTGCCTAAGAAGGATGACCTGTTCTTCTGCCGTGTCGGCGGACCGCGAGATCGGTACGGACCACGAGATCGGTACGACCACTGACTCATGGGACGACCACTGATCATCCTACATCCTACATTGGGGTGGTTTGTTCCAGGGTTACACTCCTGAAAACTAACATGATTACCGTGGAAAACCACCACCTGTTTGTAGTGGATTTCATGCTCTTCCTCTCGGGGCCATTCTCCACTTCCCTGTTAGTTCCAGGGAGTGTAATGTAGGCATTTGTGTCGGAGTGTGCCGGATTGTTATCACATCCAGACTCCACTCGATCTGTGGAAGCTGCTTCTTCACCGGTGGTTTGGGCTTCAGTTTTGCTGGACGAGACGCGCGGCACCCGCTCCGACTCGCCGGAGGCTTAGCACCGAGGTTCGGTTCTCTGGGTGGGTTCTTTGCACAAGGAGTTGGACGAGCTGCATAGGGATTGGTGAGGTCATTCCAAACGAGCTGCAGTGCCTGCAGTTGCAAGCCCCTATATGCTCCAAACATTGCTTGGCCACTCAAAATACACCATATAGAGATTTGAGACCCCACCCCCCTCCAAATTTGGGTCCGGCCCCTACTAATGAAGGGTCCAGACTTCGTGTTTGTGAGGTTGGAATTTTCACAAACGGTTTGATAGCGGGGCTTACGGGGTTTCAGTCTACAGCCATGAAATGCTTTGGGGGCCAGTTGTTGAAGTCCACATTTGGACTTTTTCAATGACAGTTTGCTTTGGCTGATCAACATCATAGTTTGATAATGTTATATAGATGATCCTGAAGGCACACTTTTGACCATACTTCTCCGTGAAGTAAATTTGTGGATGTCCCAGTTGAAGTCCATCCCGTTACAGTCCTACACCCTGGGGAGTTGGCTCGTTCGCGTGGGGTGCCTCCGAGACCTTTTTGAACTTGAAGATTGAAAAGTGCTCGCATCACCTCCAGATTGTTGCCAAGAGTTTTTTTTCATATATTTTGCAATGTTTTCTCCCATCAACATTGGAACCTGTTGAGCAAGACAACCTGGACCTCTATTGTGTTTTTTTGTTTAATCACACTCTCAATGGATGATCTATGATGGTCTGGGCACCTCTATACCCACTGCCACTCCGAACTGGACGCTGAAGCGACAAATGCGTTGGTCTTCTGCTCGATGCCTCCAGGGCGACACCAGACGTGTTCGGGGACAGTCGCACCACTGGCTGAGGGGTGTTTTGGAATGAACAGTGGCTGAATATGAAAGGAATCTCCCCAGGAAGTCTGTGGAGAACCTTTATATATATATATTATATATACTTGCACCCCGGAGTTCCTTCACTTTGCTCAGTGTACTTTATGTATAATATATATATATATATATTATAGTGATCACCAAATAGAGGACCGTGAGACTACGGTTTCCAATACATTTTCTAGGTGGGGATCTACGAACTTCTATCTATTTGGGGGTCTGTAAAATTAAACCCTTTGTGGGGGCTGTGGCGGGGATTGGTTTCCCTCGAAGCAAGAACAGGTGGAAAAAGGTTAACCTTTAGTATCTTCCAGGGAAGCGGAGGGACTCGGCCGTTACAAATAGCGTGATGGAGAGTGAGAGTGCCAATCGTGAAGCCTTCTCATGGCAGCAGAAACGCGGGAGGTGCATATATGTTTCACTAAGTGCTAGGTTCCCTATCCAAATACCTTCTCACCTTCTCAGGTTTGGTACGACTGGACCCTCCAAGCCTACACAAAAGTGTCGAACACACCACCTTCTCAGAGGGTATGTGGGATCCTCAGGGTATCGGGGGCTCATTCTTCCCTCATTCCCTGAAAATGAGGCACCCTAAGAACCGGGGCCCTCAAATATAAAAGGTTTGAGGGCTTTTTACACCCCTGCTCCGGGGATTCTTAAGGCAGGAGTTCTAAGCGGGGTTCCATCGGACATCCTCTTCAACTGGTGCTCCACTCAACTCCTTTCCACCGGTATCCGCCATCGCTGACTCCATCGCTGACTCCGAAGGCAACGATGGCTGACGAGGCCGTCGAAATCGGTCGTGGCGGTCGTCCGGGCGGGTCCAAGCCGTGGCAGGGCGATGGGAAGACCAGGGCCCGCCGAAGTGGACCAGAAGAGTCACGACCAGCCCTGGTTCCGAGTCACTGGAAGAGACAACCGGCCCTGCTCGGCCATGAATGAGGTTCGGGGTTTGGACAGTCCGATCGGTCCGATCACTGTCCATCGGAAGGAAGAATTGGTACAGAAATGGTTTAATAGGCCAAGGAACTGAAAAGGAGGAGACGAACTTTCTGTTCAACTACTGTAAATGCTTGAGAACAAGTCAAAAGATGCACGAAACAACTAGTTTCTCAAGAGTCGGTAGATGTTCCATCCTTGTTGGAGACTCCCACTCCACTAGGTGAAACATTGAACAAAAACATATACGGCGCATGATCAGTCAGCCGGCCAAGAGTGACCACAACCACGAAACCAAATCCTTGGACCCTAGACCCGAACCAAATCCTTGATATTTTGAGGGTCTTGCTTTTAAGCTATTAAAGGTCATTTGTTCGTTTTCCCTCTGGGTAAATCCATGTATACATCCTTTTCTGCATGTGACAATATGTGACATATTTGTACGATGCCCAGCAGCCCAGCGAATCCGGGCCTGGATGCTGGGAAACCCGGACACCCGTCTTTTTTCGGACTCGTCCCTGTTTTCTTTTTTGCCACACGAGACTGACCGGCGACCGGCAGGAGGGCAGTGACTTCGAGGAGGGTCAAGTGCGAAAGGTCGAGGCCACCGATGGAGCCGTGGGTGGTTGCAGAAACGCGAGGACTCGAGGCGGACAGGGACAGGGTGGTTTGTTGCAGAAACGAACAAACAACTACGCGAACGGGCTCGTTTGGAAGAATTTGACCTCCCTAAGAATGGGGGCCCCTCTCCAATGGAAAGGGTTTGGTTCGGGTCCGGACCCCTGCGAACTGACGGGCCCAAGGATTCTGAGGGATCAATGAAGGAGATTTTCCCCAAAACCTGCGGCAGGCATTTGCTAGCACCACCTACTTCAGGCCACCTCTTTGCTTGTTACCACATAAAGTTTGACCTTTTTTGTTCCGTTCTTGTTCCCGCACGGTTTTATAATGTTTTATATAATGTGTGATTGTTGCTTCTTGAAGAGATTTGCATGTCCTGGAAGGACTGATTATCTGCATAAATCATCTATAAAGAGAAACATCGTGATTGGTAGGGTTGAACTTGGGCAGACTTGATGAATGGAGCCTGCTAAGAACACTCAGGACATCCACAGACCATGACCATCCTCCATGCCCTCGTCATCCGGTCCGTCGTCATCCGGACGTGGCTGCCGTGTCTGCCAGACCATCCCCGATGCCGTGGACCACTTTCTCGGAAGAAGCTTGGACTGACCTGATGAAAATCCCACGGGAAGTGGACGAGAGCTGTTGACGGATGTAACACCCCAAACTAACCCCGAGCGAAACAGGAAGATGCACATGCACAGTAAAACATGGTAAAGCCATGATGTGATCAGGTCAGACATTGTTTTATGTTGTTTTAGTTGTTTTGTGTTGTTTCTTAGCTATGTTTTTTCAGAGTTGCTTCCCTTCACGGTATTTATCACCTCACCAAAACACCGACCCTTGGTGCTGGCGCCATGCGGTTCCGCCGGTGTCGGGACCGGTCTGGGCCGCCCGGGTGTGGAGGAAATCCGTCGTTTCGCAGGGACGTTCAGATCGGGTGTTGGTCTCTTTCTACATGGGGATGTGTTTTTTTTTGTTTTTGCCTTGCTTTATGCTTGGTCCAGGGTCCTTGAGTCCATACGTTTCACTTGCGAATCTTTGCAGGAAGTTATGATCATTCAAACTTAGCTCCAATGTGCTGCCAACAAAACCCCGGAGTGAGGGGAACCATGTTCTGCAGGGTTCGCTCCTGTATAGGATGACCGTTTAGTGCTGAACCTGGCTTGGACATAATTTTGGGACCTCCACATCCTCAGGTGATTTGAGGAATTGGACTGGAAGGCTTCAAGAGATGATACATTGGATACACCTAGGGCGTTGCCCAGTAAAACCAGTGACAGTCGGTCAATACTGTTGCTCATTATCACTATTCACAAACTATCGCTATTTTCGAGAACGGCATTCACCAACCATCCTCATCCACTGGGCCCTGGTCATGGGATATCGGATATATGGATGTTCCAAGTTCCAAGATGCACGGCACGGCTGACGTCAGGGCCAGACCCGGGAGGGCGAAGTTCATGGTTGCTGGTGGTGCTCAAGGTGACCCTGTTATCTTCTCTATGGATAAATCCCCTTCTGGGCTGGGGAGGTGGTGTTTCTTTTTGTCCCGATTCCGTTCAGCAAATCCAAGTGATCTGGGGAGGGAACCCAGTGATCAGAGCCATGAGCATCATGATCTCATGTTTGCCCATGTGACGACCTGTGGTGTGGGTGTGATGTGATGTCCCGTGATGCCATCGTGGGTCCGGTCCTCACCGGGCACACCCGTCGCGCAGCTTGTTCTGCACCAAGGCCTATTGGATTCCATCAAGTGCGGAGACCAAGCATAGGCATTAGATGGCCCACTCGGCACTGCTGTGACCCGATGTACCTTGCAGGTAGGTGGACCCAGGTGTGTTTGGATTCAGGTTTATGTTTGGATTTGTGTGCGAAATGGAGATGTTGGGAGACTAGAGACGTTTTTGGAAGCTGTGCCTATCTTCTTGAACATGTACTCCAGCCAGAGTGGATCGAAGAGATTTCGCTGTCACTCAAGATATTCAGAGAGAATATGTTGCGTATCCAACCCAAAGCATGGTGACTTTCCTGACGGAAAAGCCGTGTCTTCGTATGCCACTTACAGGTCAACGATCATCAAACTGTGCTTTGACTTCAAGGGCCAGTCTTAGTACTTCAGGCTCCAGACCAATTTTTTGGGATTGTTGTGCTAACAGTAACAGAGTTGTTTTCAGGTACGTTCAGAGTGTCTGGGGGATCAGCCAATCGAAGGCAGCCGTTCGCTCGAAGCGCTCAGACCATAGTCCTTTGTCATCGGGAAGGACTGATGCGAAGTGGGTAAGGACAGGTGTCTCTGTCTTAGAGCTTTGAAGAATCACCATGAGCGCATCCGCACCCTGTCTTGCCCAGTTGGTGACTTTGCAGAGGAAATGGATGTTGGGATTGGTCTGACGCCAAAAAAAACACACGTCTGGATTTTGGTGTATGAAGGTCACAGACCAATCTGGGTGCGACGTGGCCTGAGTATCGACGTCTGGTCGAAAGACCTGCGATCGACTCATCGGTCCTTGGTCGAAGTGACTCGACTCGACTCAGGTCACAGAACATCCCAGAGATCAACCGACTCTACGTGCCTTGGTCGAATGGGTGAACCCTCGGTCACTCGCGTGGAAAAACGCGGACTTAGACCAGCGGAAAGGACGCTGCAGCAACCTGTCAGAGCCACCTGAGTGTTTATTTGGGATGTTTGGTATAGATCATGTTGACTCATCGATGAAGAACATCTATCTACCTGGGTGGGCAAGCACCTCCAGGCCTCTGTTTTCAAACATTAACAGTCAGCATCACATGAGTACTGTACACCTCCCTGTACTGTCCAATACTCCTGAATCTCCTGGTGTTATTACCTAATTCAGGTATATCACACAGTGGTCAGTACTTCAGACATGGTAGAGGACCGGTTTTTGTCCCAGCTCTCGGTGCATGCGGAGTGGCTTTCACAGGCGTCCCCCTGCTTTTGGTCCTGGTGGGCCTTCAGAGAGCATACTGCCACTGTGTAGTATACTGGGGCCTTCATACGGACTTGATAGAAATTACAACTATAATGTAGATGGGTGAATTCGTATACAAGCCCCTATCTGGATATGTAAAACCATTCTCGTTTCGGGGGTGTTCTTATTAATTAACACTCTACGTTCAACGCCGAGTCCCTCTTTCCCGATGACTTGAGACTAGGAGACCGTCTTCAACCAGCTCACCGAGCGGTACTACAACAAGACGAGCCTTGGCACGTCAACGAAGCAGAAGGGGTAAACCCCGTGGTTTGCCGGGTCGAATGAACGATACATATGGTGACAGGTATGATTCGGAATTCGGTATAGTGCATAAATTACAAGGACGGAACAGGACGGATGAACTGCAGACGATGATTATTACCCATTCTTGTGCTTCCAAGATCTTCAAGTGTTTGTTGGTTGGTTGGTTGGTTGGGGCCACACAAGCAACAGCAATAAATTAAAATAAAGACACCTGGCCAATTTACTAAGTCCATCCCCACGTTTCCCCACCAACAAAAATCCGAAACATCACACTTGCTTTTGACCAACCCCCCAAAAAAACATACCTCCCACGCTTCATCCGAACTTCCTTATACCATCTTATACCCACACTTGGGATCCACACATTTACCAAACACGAGGGTGTTGTGGAGAGCTTCGGGCTTTGGAGGGTCCAAGAAATCGCCTTCATAGGATACCCTGGTGAAGCCCCACCTTTGTCGAATCGCCTTGTTCATCTGCAGGAGGGTTCTCCACCTGTTTGGGGGAACAAATCTATGGAGTCTGTTCAACTGTTTATCCAGGAACCGAGGCGTTTCTTTTTTTTCGTGTCACCTGTTACTTCGTTCCATCTACGAAGGTATCAAGGAGTATGGTGCGTATCATCGACCGTGTGCGCGCGGTGTCGGCAACGAAGAAAGCACTGAGGAAGTGGCCAAGTGACTACGCAGTCGCTCAGGCCTTAGGGCAGAACGAGGCGCTGTTCTTGATCCTCTACAAGGAGACGCCGCAGCTACGTTTGTGCTGCACGAGTTTAGTCCATTAACTCATAGCAAGTGTGTATTGAAATAGCTACTGTAGACCTACCAAAAAGACCCCCCTGGAAGAAGGAAAGTAGACCAAACCCCATTGGGCCAGGGTCTCTCCTTACTGAAACACACGCCCATGTGTGTGAACAAACCAGCGAGTCTGGGGAAACAGATGGTGACACGCGAAACGCTGGGCAGGTGCATGTTTCGTTCCGCATAGACACGGCGTGGCCGTTGCCTTTTGCAGATGTCACTGATGAACTATGTCCTGCTCACATATTTGTTCATAGTTTTTGACCAACAATGTTCCGGAACACTACCCACCTTTGAAGACCATCGACGTCACCATTCACAAACTGTACTCCTACAAGATGACATTGATGGCAAAGACATGCAAAGACTAAAACATCGTTGTTTAAGACAAATTGTATCCTGTTTGGATAGTTATTGTGTGTTTTTGGAAAGAGTCTACAGAAGCAGCTCCTTTCTAGCATTCTGCATGCCTCCTGCCCAACAAAAGAACATAATTGTTTCTCGTGTTTTCTTCCCCCAAGATTGGAGGGATGAGTTCCGCTGTTCTGTTGGGGCCGTTCCTCTCAACGAGTGCCAGGAGCTCTATTATAGGCGCTTCTTTTGCCGTCCGTCTTCGGGTTGACGGGTTGCCGGGGTTTGGTTGGGGGTTGCCGGGGTGCCTGGCGAGGCGAACTTCGGAGTTGGGTGGCTCGGTGTCCTTGGGAAGAACCACAAGACTCTAAAGATCCACAGGTTTGGTACGACTGGATCCTCCAAAGGTTTCTATTTGTATAGGTGTTGAACACATCCCCTTTTGCAGAGGGTGTCAGTGGAATTCATAGGGAGCGCTTCTCAAAGCTTGGCTAAAGTGGGAGGGACAAAGTGGGACAAGTGTCAAGAACCTCGACTCTATGGCCCTATGTAGTTCTTGTCGATCCACAAGGGTATAAAGCTTGGGTTCAACACACTGGCGAACCATATTCCTGTCCGAGGACCCTGACATTTGCAGCATTTGTCTTCACCACCTGTGGGAAGGGGTGTCAGAATGGTCACTGGACAGTGGAATTGGAGTGTCGCATTGCGCAGCGATGACCGGGCCTGGATTTGATGTGTTGTTGTTTCCCACTTGGCCTGTTAGAGAACCACATTGGTCCACAGTGTGAAACTATATATGCCAACGAATGGCCTTTGGGAAACAATTCGATATTTATGTGTATATATATGTGAGAGGTCATGGGTCACTTGGTAATTAGAGAGTTGGGAGAAGATGGAGACACACTAAAGTTGTTCCATGTTGTTCCTTTTAGAATATTAGTGGCAGACCACACTTCGCACTGCGAAATCCCTGGCTGGGTGGGCCTTGGTTTTTGTGATCCTTCTGTTCACCATGACACTGTTTGGGCCCAACAGTTCGGAACCCGCCCGTCGACACCCGAACCAACAAAAACGCACGTCATTTCTTCACCCCCAGCCCCGGGTCCGATGCCAGGCATATCTATGCCAGACTGAACCCCGTGTCCTTTGAGGCCCGTGTGGCGAGCGAACGACTCGGAAACACCGTGGATGTTGTTCCAAGCGAGGAAGCCAAGGTTCCAAGCCCTAAAGCGGGAGGACAACTATGGAGATGGATCCACGAAAGGCCAGGCTTTGCCTGCGCATACGACTTGAGTCGGGCCCTTGGCAGCCTGCTGGGTTGAGGAGGAAGACATGAGTAGCCATTTCTTGTTTTCTCAACTAAGACGATGTCTATAGGATTCGAAGAACCATTGCCAAATTGCTTCAATGGTCTTTATCAAAGAACCAGTGTTTTACCATCTATAAGGATTATTACACTACACCACCATGTGACCCCAATTCTTTTAATGGTCGCACTGAAGGCCAGGCGATTCCCGGGCGTGTTTGGGCTGCGGTAGCTGGTAGACCCTGTCACAGACCCGTCGTCGTTTTGGCTCACCACCAGGGGCCTCCGCGTCTCTGGGGGGATGGTGTCGTTGAATGTTTTTGGGAGCGATCCGTGGGGATGGGCGATTCACTCCGGTTTCGGATGGCATGGCCCTTGCTTGGAAGGCCATCTACGATCTAGATACAAAACACAAAACATCACAAAACAGTTTTTGTCCACTGTTCAGTTCATAGGAGTTGTTTGGCGTTGGAAGTCATATGCCTTCCACGATGTGAGCAGCTTTCCGGCTGCCTAGCAAATCATCGCAGGGTTTGGTTTGCTTAAGTTTATTTACAAGTTTGTTTGTTTCTTTCCGGGTGAGCAACTTTGAGAATTCATGTACTGCTGCAATTGAGCCTGTTCTCACAGAATATTAGTCTTACAAGGGTCCATGTTTCCCTCAGTGGTACTCTGTACTGGAGATTGCTCAGCACTGCTTTATAGGAATATGTGGGAGGTTTTATGAGGTTTTCTATTGCAGCATAAGGTTTCTTTTATAGTGATAGTCATGGTATGAAACCATAGACCATGTAAACATAAGGTTTCTATGGTATGAACCATAGACCATGGGTTTCTGCATCATATGTCCCAAGGGTTCTTTTGGTTTAGAATCGTCGGAATCGCTCGGAATCGACGGAAGGTGCTTGCCCGTTTAGAATCGCTCGGAGGGTCTGGTGTCCTGTGGTCTCCACACCTCAATCGGAACTTGGTGAAAGGACTCAACGTTGGACTAGGACTTAGGAGGAAGGTACGGACCTACGGTCCAGGAGGAAGCCAATTCGTTTGCTCTTCGTTCTGAACCTGAGATGGCCGGGACATTGGCAGCTGCATCTGGTTTTCATGGCAGGACCGCGTGGGCTCGTGGAAGAACTACACGCAGCTCTTAGATTTGATGATCGAGAACCTCTCGGACGGTGAGGAGCGGCAGCGGAACTCTGGACGAAGGGATTTGACGAACGCATGAGACAGAGACAGCATCAAAACCATATGCCAACACTGCGGACACGTAAAACTATATGCCCGACAATGACACTTCCCTACAGTTTCAATGACCTCCACAGAAGGTATTTCAATAACTGGAAAACCACTTCAAAAACCTTCTTTGGAGGTAGTGGATCCTTGATCTTAGTGATTGTTCCTGGTCGTGGATACAACATGAGTGGTGCAAAGGCCACCTCGCCATTGCCTAAGATTAGCTTTCTTTGCGGTTGTTGAGGCAACTGCAGCCTTCGATCGGAGTGTATTTGTGAATAACAATGTTTGGGAATATGCAGGATGCTCTTGATTGACACAGCTCTATTTGTGCTGTGCACTTAATGGATTGTATTCAAAAACCTGACCTCATCCACAGACTTTGGTTTGGGGAGTTGAACCAACCCCACTGAATCCAGTAGCTGTCAACCACTGGGCACTCACTCAAGACAGGGTGATGAAGCATTGATGTTCTTTTAGCATCTTTTAGCCGCAAATCCCCTTCGTGCACACAGGCATCAAAGGCATTTGGAGGTGGCTCAACCCAAAAATAACACCGACTTGGACCTGGATCGTGCATTTCTCCCTTTTGACCATATGGATGATTGACTGGGTGGTACCCCATGTCTTGGAGGCAAAGGGTATAGTGATGCTCAAAGTTTGAAATCAGATAGAAAAGCAACCCAAACCCCTTGATATATCATTTCCGTCATTGACTTCGGTGAGGACTTAGGCATCGCCCTGCCAGCGCAGTGGTTGTGGGATATCCTGGATGAGTTCGTCTACCACTACCAGCCGGGGGCCTTTGTCCAAACAATTGCCAACCGCTGGGGCTTGAAAAAGGGGGGGTGTCGTTCAAGAATTGACATCCTGAAAAGTTCTGAAGTCAGAATATCTACCAGTAGTTCCAAGGATGGTTTTGCGTCCCCTAGTGAGTTGATTGTGGGTGGACCCCTCCAAGTTCGGCGCACCCTTCTAGATTCTTCTGGAACTCCTGGTATACTCGGAGGAGGAACACCTGCTGGTTGAGACACCGAAATAACTGGGAGAGAGACACCGTATAAACCACTGGATTGTAGAGGAAAATGGCCGAAAGATAAAACTGTGAGTCAATTCTTGGGGTCCATATGAGTCAAGTTTAGATCTTAGATGATCTTAGAAGGATTGCGATATGGAGAAAAAACAGATGGTGTTGCAGCAAGCAAGCTATTTCCGTCAGATGTAGCTTGCCATTCAGCTTTTGAGAGGATTTGCCTTCACTAAGAATAGGCGGTTGAATAAAGACGTTGCTCTTTATCTTCCAAATCCTACCAGGACGCGGGCATGGCGCCCCGCGCCTCCCTCTCCACCACCCTGCCAATGTATTGTCGCAAGCGGCTCCAAGGACCTATAGCACCTACTGCCACAAGACAGCCAAGATGCAGAAGGACGCTGTGGCTTTGCACTGCTGGTCATGGTGATGAAAAGTTATAGAGATACCTTTTGATATTGCTTGCTGTAAGGAGGGTTGAATTCCAGAGTCAATTGGTAGTTATGCCTCCTCCACTTGTGGAGTCTGCTTCAGAGTTGTTAGGCCACCCACGCCGATGGAACAGAGCAAGGAACAGAGCCCGATTTGGCTCGGCCTGGCTCGGTCGGGCCTGGTTTTGGCCGAACCAACTTGTGGACTGAGAAGGTTGGGGTGATGCTGCAAGAATCTGCAAGAATCTCGATTGTCCAATCAAGGACCCTTACTACCTGGAACAGTACCATCCACTAAACCCACAGGACTAGTCCCCATAGCACTTAGCAAATCTATAGGGTTTGAGGCCTGAGTTTTGCTGAAATATCCTGAGGACCCATGACCTGGCCCTTCGCTCATCTCCGCCGCAGGATAAGGAGGTCAAGGAGCTCCGGGACAATCCCGGCATTTTCGAGACCACCAAGGCCGGTTTTCCCGGTTTTCCTTCACGCCGGTCCAGAGGGCAGTTTGAAGTGCATTAAACATTGATGAATGTTGTGGTCCACAGAGTAGGCTGCATTTTGAACAGTTAGGGGGATGCGATCAGACTCCAGCAAATGTTCTGTTCCAAGCCCCTTTGAGCAGCGTTTCTTATTGGCATTTGAAGGTTTATTTGAAAGCGGAACTGAAGGTATGCTTCCAGTGTATAGGCCCAGTAGTTACCAAAGTAGACACAGTTTTTTTGAAGGTGAATTGCAAAACAGCCAGCAAGACTTGGGAAGCCAACCAGTCAAAAGTGACAAGTCATGGCATGGAGAAGATGCATTCGTCGTTATGGGACAATTCACCACAAGCAAGAACAAAGCACCTCGCTGGTTGCTGAGGCTGATCTTTCAGATTTACGCCGACCGCTAAGCACCAGTCAGAAACCATCCTAAGAATCCTTGGACCCTCCACAGCAGGGGTTCGGACCCTGAAAAGCCTTCCCATTTCAGGGCCTTGATTCTAAGGCAAGTACATTGCCAGTGGTGGGCAGACCCAACATCCACGATGTTCGTGTTTGCGCCGAAGCCACCGCATGGGGCAGGTCCTGAACTACTTGCATCAGCTCCTCAACAGCGTTTGCCGTAAATTTTGGCCGAGAGCGTACACGGCACAGAGTGTTGGAAACCATTGGAATTTTGGGCAACATGGAGATTTGCAAAAGGACATGATCCACACGGGGCGAGCACATGTAAACTGGGATGCCTCAAGCTTCTGTGAAGTGTTGAAGCTCTCCCTACGGTAGGGCAGAGCCTTTGGATGCCACGCCAAAAATGTTGGAAACGGATTCCAATAGATTCTCTGAGGGAATTGATAGTCATTCTGCTTGGTTCAACTGTTGGGGTCACTATAGGTGCAAAACACATAGCAGTGGACTGGTTTCGTGCATGATAGTGAATGACAGCAGTTGGAAAGCTCGTGGCCATTTGAAGTCGTCCCGATGTGAGGGGCCTGCGGGTTGTAAGCTGCGGGACAAGAGGAGCCCCTCTTGAGAACTGCGAGCTGTTGCTGCAGACCATGAAGATCCTAGGGCCGATGAGTTGGGGGCCTTGTAAGCTTGCTTGCAGCAAGTGAATGTGCGGACCACAGACTCATGGAAAGATCTCGTGGGAGCTTTGGCGCCTCAGGCCACATCCTTCATGAAACCTCTGCTCACGAGCATGCTGAATCAAATGCAGCATGCAGCAGCATCAGCCATCAGCCATTTGCCGCTTGCAGCAACGACAGAACCAGCTTGCATGGCCTTAGGCGAAACTCCACGAACAAGGGATTCATAGGGATTCAGTTGACTCGAGCAACGAGTCCAGTTTCAGTTCTGCCTCGCCTACTTGCACCAATACACATGAACCAGAGCCACCTTGCTCATCAAAGCCAGTTTGTGAATGGCCTTGATGTTTGTGAATTCAGGACAAGGCCAAGCAGATGTGCGTTCAAAATCTTCAATCATTTGTGGTAAGAGCAGCCCAGTTTCTCACATTCTGTGAAGCCCGGCCTTCCTAGCTTACCAAGTCGTGTGCAGAAATCACCGCCGCGACGAAGAGATGAATCCATGGCCATGGGCATGTGTATTTCTTCCTTATTTTAATAAGGAGGCCCCCTGGCCCTGGCTGGGTAGACTGGTCCACTTTCCTTCTTCCACGGGGGTCGGAACGCTCTGGGAGGTCTCAGCACCGTCCGGCACCCAGGTTGGTTCGCTATTCGCTCATCGAGGAGTGGTTGGTGAACCCGGATGGCGGCAATGGACAAGGCGTGTTGCCACGCGTCGGGATCGTCGTGGCACGCACTGAACCGACGCGACGCGTGCGACGCGAGTTCCCATGACAGGACCGATGTTCATCAGCTACCTAAAAAAAGGCGACCCCCTGGTGGACATTCCCTTTCTGAGGAGGATTCGATAAGATCGATAAGCTTTGCAGATTCGACTGAGCTGGCCAAAGTGCTCCGGGGGTGGAAAAACTAAAGTCCAGTTGTTGTTGAACGTGGGTGAACATCGTCTAGCTGCTTCGGCTTGAGGTATTCCAAGACTGGCGATGTTCAAAGCGATGAATGACTAACCTTGCTCAACACCATATGATGGGACCCCCAAGCACCTGGAAATCAGCTTGGCAAGATACCCCTCAACCTACGTAACATTCAAGCAGACACTAATTAGATACGAAAAATACACACAACTGGTCACTGAACTGGTCACTGCCAGACCTTCCCACACGTCCAAGACACCTGGCTGCTGTGAGGGAAGATCATGCTTTCTGACAGGAGTTGCGACAAGAACCCATACCTGCAGCTGGCCAGACGCTGGCAACAACAGCTTGTTTCATACTAGTACCTGCCTTGACAGGACAACAGGTTGTTTCTGCATTGGCCAAGTGTATTCTTTTTTTCCGGTGGTGTTTGGTGGTAGAAAGCTGAAAGAATGGAAGAAGGTTAATGAAGTAGGTGTGTATTGAAAGATGGGAAAGCATTTGGACCAGTAGAGTATAGAATCCTATGAGGTGGGGGCGCCCCCCCATGGCCCTCCGACTCCTGATACTCACCCAAGCGGTGAAGGTGGTCCCCAAGTTCCAAGCGCCTGATGAACAGTTTCGCGCACAGGTGCAGCCTTCACTGCCAGGGGCCCAAGACTGCTAAGTGCTAAGGCCCAAGACTGCCAGGGGCCCAGGGGCCAAAGATTTCAACGACAGGTGCAGGAATGTCATGATACATTAAAACATTTATATAATATCTTATATGTATATATACATACATAATACATACTGTATTATATAATAGATGTATATAGCAAGAGAGAAGGCATTCTCCCCAAGTACACAGTCAGTTCATGACTACTCAGCACTATGCTTAGTTCAGGCGTAGATCAACCTTCACTGTGGTCCAGAAACCTGGGTGGGGGGAATACCCTGCCTGGACCATGCTGTTTGGGTGTCCTGTTTGGACGATCCCATTACTTATGGGCTGATAGTGGACTATCCAGCCAGGACACCCAGAGGGTCAGATGGTCCTGATTAATCTGCAACCCAGCTCGGTGGCATTTTTGGTCGATAGTTTAACTTTGATCTAGGTCTGTGAACCACGCTAGGACACCTGCAACCGAAACAAACACCCGTTGAGTTTCAGCACGTTCTGGTAAACACGCCCGTGGCTCACCAAGAAATGCCCGTAACTTGAATATCAGAAAAATAGAGAAACATTTGCAGACTCAAAACATAAGGTTCTCATGCCGCAGATTTAAAACAGCACACGTTTCGGAAGTTCCAGGTATTTTTATCACGGTCCTTCAACGTGATCTGATATCCCAGTTTGAGGTCACTGGATAGGACTCCACAACCAGGTATCAGAAGCTGGATATCATAATATAAGTTGATTGGGTGTTTATAACCCTCCAATCAGCGACAGTTTTTGCTTTCAGCGGCAATGGATCGAAACCAGACACAAGACCACGTTTTTCAGCAATTGGGGTAGGATGAACATCATCCACAAAAAAAGGCCTGGAGCCCACTTGACCCCGGTTTTGACAGAAAACATATGTTGTATGGTTGGTGGTCCAAAGTAGAGGTTGAAACACTTTTTGAGCGCCATGAGACACTTCCCACTTGCCATACATTTGTGTGTTTCCCACTTGCGGTACTCGAATGTACTCGATGTTAAATCGTTGATCCCCAAACCTAATGACAGGGTGTTCATCTTTTGCGCCCCCTCCCCAGCCGGTTCTGATCCCGGGATCCTTCGGCCTGTTTCTTCCGCGTTTGCGCCGCTGTCACGCCGCTAGGACGAACCCACTCGCCTTATCGGCTACTTTGCCCTGATGCAACTCTTGCGGATGCACAGCCTTTTGGGTGACTACCGCTTGGCCATGGAGAGACGCCACACGCCACACGGATGTTCGTGGTGTTTGCGTCGAAACACGCGAGGTTTTCGCGGTGGTCCTGGTCCGGCGGCGCATCGCCCTGACGAACGCCCATCGCCCTGTGTTGTGTGCGTGCCATTTTCTGTGTCACAACTGGGGATTGCTTTTCAGACATTTCCCCAGTTGGCTGTGATGTGATGTGGCTGTGGGTCGTTCAGCCTGGAAGGAAGGAACTCACCCTGGTACACCTGTAGGTCGTCCCAGGTCGTCCCTCTTCATTTGAACCCAAGAGCCCAGGGCTCGAGCCACGGGCCGGTAAGGGGAAATACTGAAAGTAGGATTGAATGGATTCTGACCCAGATCTATGGGAGAGATCACCACATACAAAACACACATCGAGAGCTTTGGAATCCTTACCCCGCAAATGGCAGTTTGATGGGCTCAATCATACGTATCATTGCATGCATGATGTTCACTTCTTCAGGAAGTATAAGAATTTCACATGTCTTAACAAGTCCACAAGTTCTCAAGGTGTTCTTTCCGCCTCTGTTAAAAGAGGGTCAAAGCACATCGGAGTGACCCCAAGAGACTCGTCATCGACACCAGGAGACCATCGAGAGCATCGACTTCCGGGCTGAGGCTGGTGGCGGTGGGCGGCGATGTCGCACTGCAAAGAAACCATTTCGAACATCATAGTGTCATACTCCATGTCCGGGTGAAGGTCTTGGTTTACTGGCTATGGTCAATGGGTGCCTCCCAACGTTCAATGATTGTTTGCAGGGATTTGCGATCAGTGGATGTGAAATGGTTGGATTTGGAGGCCTACATTCGCGTCTCGGCTTTGGGGATAACACCTTCTTACTCATGTTTCCGCTGATCCTTGGACAGATGAAGGAGAAGGGTGACTTTGGGCAATCCAACAGGCTAGATATAAGGCAAGGAATTCTTGGCAGTGGATCTTTGGTGTGCGACCTGCGAACATCGCTGTGAAAAAGCCGCTCAACATCGCTCAACGGTTTTTGTTCTGTTCCTGTGTTCAAGAACTGAGCTGCGGAGATTTGGGAATCTGATGACACAGTCCACCAATACCAAGCTCACAGTATGCTCAGTTTGGGATTGGTATGTGAGGATTCTCACATAAACACACAAATTGGTTTGTGTGATTGGCAACCATCCCTCTTGATTCACATCATATTTTGTTTGATCCGTTTGGGACCTGTTTGGGACCCGTGCTACGCCTCTGAGCGAGGAGTCATCCTATCGCTGCCAGGTGCCGCTGTTCTATCGCATCCCTGCCTGTCACGTCACAGTCTTCTACTACCTGGGCTTCGCGTGCGCTAAACCACTAAAGGTCAAACGCTTGGCAGGCTTGGCAGGGGATCCAAGGGATAGGCTAGAACAGAAGCTTTAAAGAAGCTAGCGACTCGGATTATCCGGATGTTGTGGGGGGGTGTTGTGCCTCACCATTTTTGCATCTGCAAAGATGAGCAAGGTACATGATGATGCGGAGATATGTAGACGCGTCCAGGCAGGGTTGGGTCAAGTGTGGTGTTCTATGCTTTTGCGTCGCTACGGCCGCTATGGTTTCATGTCATCCAACACCATTCGCTCCGGGTGATGTTATATTTCCGCTCTTTGGAATATCCTTTTTAGGAGCATAATATGTCTTAATCAATCGCAGGTCTTTTAAGCAATCTTGGATCCCACGTCCATAGATGCCAGTCACACCTTGCTTTTGCGCAATGGAAGGTTTTAGTTGAACTCCTTGGGGCTCAGGATCCTAGGAAGATCCGTTTTAACGCCTTTGACCTTCACTTCATCGGAGAAGTTAGAGCATTGATTGATTTTCAGCACCAACCAAACACCGCCATTTCTGGCCCCGATACTTGGCCTTTTGCCCAGGTTCTTTCACCGCCTTCCCTTCACCGTTTTTGGACGGAGCCGAGCCGAATCGAGGACCTTCTCGGACATCTTGGTGTTTTTGTCCAAGATTTCGGCGGTGAACTCCTTGTCCTATCAGTATGACCAGATGCTGAAGAAGCAGGAGCCGTTTTCTGCATCCGCTTAGCGGATGCTGTGACGGATGGATGTTGTAGATGGGTGGTTCATGGAACAATCTTCCACTGGAAGAAGGATCATGAGGATCCCCCCAAACTGACTGCTGACGCAAATTGAATGGGTGGCAAATGGTGGCAATCTTTATTCCAGGTTGGTTTTTGATGGTTTTTGGATGGATGGAACACCTCCCAACTGGTAGGCTTCCATATCGTCACGATTGGAGTCATCGCCCCAAAACGATGAACGATTCATGTCCTTCTTTGGATTGAACCTCTTGATGCTTAAAGGTCAAAGGATCCAGTGGCCACAGAAGATTCCAAGGTCAAAGGATCCGCTGGTGCACAGGCCCCCAGTATCAAGTGGCGTGGGACCCGTGGGACTGGAAAAGAATTCCTCGTCGCGAGTCTAGAGGCTGATGTATGCCCGATCTCACGTCCAGTCCTCGAGTCCTCCATGAGCTTTGCAGTGATTATGAGGTCGGTCCTAAAAGTGTGGAGCGCTGCAAATCGCTCGGAGCTGCATACTCTGAGCTTTCCACTTGGAAATCCGAGGAGCTTTAGGCCCTTTAGGCCACTCGGCTCTGTCTTTTGGGGGAAGCTGCTTGGCATGTCAGGACCAGATGTATGTCCTGCTGCTGATTTGCAATGCGCTTTGCCCGCAACCCTTGGATGAATCCCTCGAGAAGCCCATCCGCGAGAAGCATGCAGGTGCGACAGTCGAGGGGCCGACAGAGGCCGAGGCGGGTCGATAGACCCGGACGTGACGGCTGGGTATCTCGGACAAGGGGTACAAGCTATGCCGGTGTTTGGTTCGGGTCATGTCCTAGGTGTTCTACTGTAGATCAACATTAGGGTGATCCACAGCAGGGTCCAGAAAAGATTAAAAACAAAGGCACATTTGGCTCTAAGCCATAGCCATAGACATGGCCAAACCGTAGACGTCGTCAGTGGGTGACACTATGTGACACTATATCACCGTGGCTCGCCTTTTGCTCAGACTCACCTTCACAAGAGGATGTAATCAAACCCCCAGATGTTGCTCCAAAAGCTATCCTCCCACTCACTCAAAATGGACCACTTCATGGCATGACCATTCTCCTCTACAAAGAGGTGGCAAACTCCGCTTCCATGTGATGTGTTCGTCCAGGTATGGATACCTGGGAGTGTTAGGACCCACTTGGATGAGACCCGGCTCAAGACCCACATGGAACTTTGGAAGACGAGGAAATCGCTACAACCCGACGTGGTTTTCAGGTGCCATGATGGAGTTCCATGTGAATTTTCCAGGGTGTCAATCCATGGCGACGCCATCAATCACCCGCCTGGGTCCACTCACCCGGCTGGGGTCGCCAGACAAGCAGATGCGCCTCCAGCAGGGTGTCGAGGCCTGCTTCGAGGACTGCGGGCCTTCGGGCCAATAGGGAGATGCACGGAGAGAACTGAAGAGCATTCCTGCACATTCCTGCAAAGATCTCTACAGTATTTGTGTGTTTTTTGCAGATGAATCATTGTTTGTTGAGGAACAAAAAACAGCACAAGACTGGTGCATGTCCAAACCAGGACTTATTCTCTTACGCTTGCCCCAAGTTTGTGGCGGCCTCCATGCCCGACCTTGATAGCCGCTGGGCAGATAGAGCCGTCCTCCTGGCGTGGAGTAGCCGTGGAGTCGCAAAGCACCCAACGAAAGACCAGCAACACAAGGGGCTCGGCGGGCTCGGGTGGTTTATTGAACCCCCGCTGAAGAGGTATTTTCCAATAGCCACCCGTCTCCAGGTTGGTGTTGCGGGGGATGCGTTTGCGTTTTTTTGTTGGAAAGATATGAACCAGGACTGACAAGTTGGGATGCAGGACACCCCTTAAGGGGCTTAAGACCATAGACACCCTGCCCGGCCCTGCCCTAAACTTCTGAACAGGGATGGAAGATATGAGACAGTTCTAGGGCCTAGAGAAACTGCAGGAAGCTGGCAGGTCAGTAGTTGGGTGGGAGACCACAAACTTTACAAACCGACGATCTGGCTGAAAAAAGGGGGCTGCTTTGACAAGCTGAGTTATGGGATCACTGATATCCGTGGCTGTGAATGGGGATTCTTCAGAGATACTCCAGTTTAGGTACTACTGGCATCTACTGGCCAGTGTTCACCGATGTGTTGAAATGTTTTGAACCTTCTCAAAATATGCATGACATATTCAAGATTCTTCAAGCTGTCTCATCCATCCATGAGATATCATGAGATCATTGAACACCATGACAAATGATCCTGAGACACAGGTTCATGTTGCGGACCGAATGCCTCCTTTGGAGCTACTCATCTCCCTATCATTCTCCTATTTCCCAACTCTTCATCCTCCAGCAGACCTCCCTGATTGACCTCCCTTCTGCGGCGGCTGAGACTTGGACAACTTCAATGCCAACGAGGCACACCAGCGACAGCTGCACCTCTTCCTTCAGGAGGCGTCGTCGCGGTGGGGCGGCGTGGCGTGGGGTCCCTGCTCGATTTGCCGACCGGGGACCGGGAAGTTCTGTTCGCCGGCCAGGAGTGTTCTTTTTTCTGCCTGGCCTGTCTGCACAGGATCATGGTTTGGTCAAGAAGAATGTTCTGAGCCCGCGCACAACTCGGGCCACCATGTTTGAGGTGAGAGCACGGATATTGATAGTTTAATTGCTTTTGGTATCTCTTGGTATTAGAAGGATAGATACTTAGATACAGCCATCCTCTCCACAAATCCCAGCAATTCGTCACAAGTCACCCCAATGCCATGGAACTCATGTTGACAAAGTTCACAGGGACTTCTATGAAGCTCCGGGGTGCCCATATATAGTCCCCTGGATCTATCGTCCTAACCCCGCCCGGCAGGTGCGACAACAGCAGGCCCTGCCGACCATCGGATCTTACATGAAGCTCTACACCTCCTTGCAGACCTCCAAGTCTCACTGGCACAGCTTGTTGGTCCAACAAAACGGAGCCGAGTGCTGAACGGCAGACTGTTGGTATGTAAAAGTACTCCCCCACCTGGGTACACGATGTCGACTTGAGTGTATAAACCAATGCAGGGACACTCATTGAAAGCGCGATATTGCAAGCTATTCCAGAGTAGGTGACCTTGTGTTTGTGCTTCAGGCTGACGTCGTTTGCCAGGTTGGCACAGCTCTGCGAGATGGATGGTGAGGGCTTGAGGGATCAGCTCATGTGCGCAACTCCGCCGCAGCAGAGACTGAATGGATTCTGTGGCTACAACCTCCAACTAGATCGACTTGCGGAAACCAAAGCATCACAGACCAGGCTCCATTCTCATCGCCCCCCAGAAGAGCTTCTGAAAAAAAGCAGCTATATAAACCGAGTAACACTGAATGCCCCGCACCAAGGGGCCTAGATGGGTTACAATGGTTTTAAGACAACTTGTCAATTAGCTTGAAGCACTGTTCCGCCCACTCTTCCAAGCAGACGCTCCACTTGGCGTTGATTGAGCATGATAACAGCGTTCCTCTAAGCATTGCGAAGCTGAGTGAAGTGAACTGTGTAGATCACATTCCACACAAGAGATGTGTTGTGTCCATTTTGTCTCATACAAGTCATACAAACATGTTTTGTTTAATATGTTGTTTCATGTTGTGTGTTCATGTTCTTTCCATTGCTTCCTATAAAAGAACAGAGGTTATTTTTGGCTTGTAGGTGGCAATGATTCGGTATAGCCTGCCTCTTCTACCGCCGAACTTCGTTCGTCTGAGGTGATGCACAAGACCCGTCAGCTGGTTCACCAGAAAGAGGGAACTCCCTTGGACGGAGCACCTCGTTTGGGCGGGTTCGGGGGAGCGAGAAACAGATGGGGAAACGGTTTGAATGGCCTGTAGCAGATTTGAGTGGCGAAAGGATGCAGAAGATTATTCAGTTATATATAGGTGTTTGACAGGTGATAGGTGTTTGTCAGCAAATCAGCTTTAAAATGAAATTACACTGTAGCGCCCAGCAAGATCTCGCGATCCTTTGCTCAACAAGCGACACACAGAGACCTGGTATTGCTTAGGGTGAACTTATTTCTCCCTATACTATGGGTGTATTCTCTTCTGATCGAGGAATATGTGTTTCGCCGGTTTCTTAAGCACATCCAGGTCTGATGAATGACGCACCGTGACGCACAAACCGATGCAGAGTCAGAGTCCAAACCAACACGATAATCGCCACAGCTTGGTGACTCGTCGGTAGCCTTCGCTCACCAGCTAAAGCGGTGGATAACAACTCAATGATTGGCAGAATATTACATACCAGGCGATGCATCGGATTCTCACCATTCTCCACAATTTTGCTGGCGTCTTGGGCCTTGGGTCAATCAAATTAAGCCACTCTTATACTTTCGAACTCCTCTGGAAGCGCTTCCCCTCTCACTGTTGCGACTCAGAAGGTCCCCACAACCCAACAGCACTTCCGGTCCTCCAGTCAACTCCTTGTGGGACCCCCCCCCACGGTTTGCTCCCTCCCTCCAGTCACGCCACACACGGCAGCGGTCTCACCGTCCGGTCTCTCCGTCTCGAGGTCCTGCAGCCCTGCGGCGAAGTGGAGTTTTACCTGGACGGCGACATGGCCCGGGACACCCGGGTCAAGCGGCGGAAGCGAGCCGGAGGAGGCGATTTTTGTTGAAGCCTCTGAACACTGGAAGAATGGAGGTGTTGTTTCAAGGAATGCCTGCGGTATAGCCGTTGTATAGGTTTGAGGTAGAGTGTGTTGTGGGTATGTATGTTTTAATATTGGTGATATAGTTGAGGGTGTACATAACACTAGAGTATCAGCCCAGATCTGGCCAGGACACTCCATGTATGGCATCCATTGCCTACCTTGGGCCCTTTTCAACCACTCCACCTAATCGGTCAATGTGCCATGTAGATACGTTGTGTTTGGGTGGACATCGGGGCATTTGGTTCTCAAGTCTGGTCGAAGTGTGACAGGGCTTGGAGGTTGCAAAGACAGTCATGACAGGTGTTCCGAGAAGGACCACAGCAATGGGGTTGAAGATAGTGTGTTTGAAGAATTGGTGTAGTAAGGTGTAGTGGACATCTATGGTGTAATGCCTTGATGAAGCACATCACGTGGAGGGACGTTCAGTCTGAACTAGCCATTCCTCCCAAGGAAGAGTCTCGCAAGGAATCGAGTCTGATCTTGTGTGTCGCACAACTTCAAAAGGCAATTTCTTATCAGATGTGTCATGGTTCTATCAGTCAGTCGGGATCTGCGTCATGAACCAGTTGAACCATCCGCAAATCCTGATGTTGGAAGGGCCGGGAAGGACCCGAACGGGTGGCGTTGGAAGGACCGGGCGCCCGAACGAAAGTGCTCCAAGGTCCACATCAATGCACAGAAGCCACAGCGGCCTCATGCAGATGTCTTCTTGGAGCACATTGTGAAGTTCCAGGAGATGCGTGAACATGGGGCAGACAGTGAAGGCCAAAACTGTGAGGTACTTGGTGGTTCCTGACAGTTAGAGTGTGGTTCCAGGGTTGCTAGTCAAGGTCACAGGTGTTGGTTTGTTGCTCCCTTCAACCGACGGGTTTGTTCAAAAACGATGGCCAGGCCTGGTGGAGTAGTCAGGCAGACGGTCAAATTCAGAAGAATACAAACCATGCTTGCAAACAAGGAAACGATGCAGTGTGCAATATGCTCTATATATCAAGAAATAGCAATAATTTCACTTGAACACCATGGATATCGCTGGAAGTTGATGTTTTCCGATCATTTTCATGGCAGAAACACCCAAGTCATGTCCAGTTCATTTGCTGGACATAGACCTCTTTGATCCGGTGTTCAACGACTCGGTCGACAGACAACGATGGTGATCTGCGATCTGCTTTCCGAATGGCCTTCCCAGAAAAAAAACATGCACGATTTGCCTCTTCTCCTTACAGGATTGGGGAGGAAACCACCTCGTCGACCCAAGAGGTCTCATGGGGCGATCTCCCGAGAAACGGCCGTTGAAACTGAAACCGATGGCCTTTGAACATTGGTTCATAGAGGGGATGCCCCCCCCCGTCGTGTACAACCAATAATTAAGGTATGGTTTATGGTACCGACCCGGACATCATTGGTTGAAACGGGTTCTGTCCGGGGCGGCTCTCCGTGATCTCCGTGTTTGGGAAACATCTCACCGAGCCCGTCCCCGGTGAATCCGGTCGCCCAGACAGGTCCCCATGTGGACTGCAAAATACCAGGGCCCCCGTTTCGGGATGGTTAACGGACATCCCGAATCCTCTGTTTGGAGCTATGGACATTCCTGGGGGGCCCTGGTACATGACTGGTGGTTTTGGGTGGTGAATGATCATGTTCTGCGCCACCCGTGAATCCTGTGGGTCGGAGCACGGCGGGGCTGTTCAGCAGACCCTTGGGTCGGTGGTTCAGCACGAAGTTCAGCGACGAAGCACGTGGCTATTTTGCACCTCGCGTGGAAGACCGACCGACCGTGGCTGTCGCAGGACATTCTGAAGCGTGCGGACCGCCTGCAGAAGGGCGGCGCCGCAGCATAAGGAGCGGCGGGAAAGTAAGAAGTGAAGTGAGAAGCCCCCTTTGCGAGCCGAGCAAAACGAGCAACAACCGCGAAAGGAGCGAAAGAAACCAGCAGGAAGACACATTGATGATCAATTGAAGATCATTGGGGATGCACAGAGCTGACTGTTTGGAGATGTTTCGATTTGCCACGCAAACTGTTTGCCTTGGAAGTCTTGACCAGGGGTGGAGTCTTGGGAGTAAGAACGTGTTTCTTCAAGATTGATATGTTTTTTTTAGTATGAAGGTTTGCGAGACTTCACTGCAAGAAAGACAACAACACCTCCCTTGTTGCAGCAAATTGTGCGGTTGAATACATATTAATTATAGTGTTTGCTATTTTGCAAAGCTATTTGTATACGCGTGGATCTTGTTGAATGCCAGCGAGTCGTTTCAGCTAAAGAAGCCCCACGTCGCGGGGGGTTCTTGCCGTCTTCGGGTGTCACCCAGCAAACTCGCGCGGATCGATGCGTCGCTCCACGCGCGGAGTAAACCTCGAGTCAGAAGGTTTTGGATGTGCAGCAGAGATGGAAGACATGCACATTATTCATGCCATGAAATATCATGAAATCATGCAATAATTAAATTGTATATGTATATATAAATTAGCATGAAATCAGACAACAAGAATGGACCCACGGGAGTTAGGTGGTGAATGCACACCTAGAATCACCTCTATAATGGGTCTAGTTTTTAGACACCCCTCGGTATGCCAGAGACGGGGATTCACATCGAAAAACTCTATCGTTGAGGCGTTGTTTAGCTGATCTATAGAGATTCTACACCCTGCTGCCGTCCAGTGACCGCTTTCGAGTCCCTGGGATGAAAAGGTTGGACAAAAGCTGGGCGGGGACGGAGTGCGGAACGTTTGAGTCAAAATGCTACTATAGTAGCTACTTGCTCCTAGTGGTACGGCCAGGAGCCCCTTTGCTCCGTTCGTAGCGATGCCAGGAGCCCCTAGTAGCGACTTGACCCTGAAAGAAACATGCCCAAAAGGTTCCAACAAATCAATCTTGTAATGCAGCCTGCTCCTTGACGGATATGTGGATATCAGCGCATCAACGCCTAGGTGTTAAAGCCCAATACACCGACAAACCATGGAGAAAGAGATGGAAGAAACATGACATGTCGGACATGTCGCAATAAATTTCAGGATGGATATGACTTGGCGAGTCATAATGCAGACTCTTGATGAATAGCGCCCCTCATCTGAGAGGAAAACCTCTTATCTTAATACTTGCCGAGGGACCGACCTTAAATGATCTTTAAAGTCTTTTTTTATATCGGCTTCATCAGCAATACTCCAGGTGACATCCTAGTTCGTCAGTCGATAGCCTGCAAAAACGTTTTTGGGGATTGGGGTCCCCACGACATGTCCCCACGCTGCATTTTTGCTATCCGACCAGCGTGTCTATGTTCTATAGCGAGGCCATTGCCTAATATGGCTTGACTAAATAGAACAGGTGGACAATTGTTAACCGTTATATAACCCTTCTTTTGCACGGGAAAATGGCTTGGGGGTCAGACATAGAAGAACTCACTGATGCACTGATCTACCACAAATCAATCAGAATCCCAATCTTACACGAAATGACTGTCATGGCTCCTAACCTGAGAGAGGATAATGACACTGCCATGCGGGTTTGTCTTAGAACCCCGCTGTCAGACCCCAGGAAGAAGGAACATAGACCAGTCTACCCATTGCTTGAGGCTTGGGGGTTTCCCTCATATTAAACAACACACCCATGTAGAAGCTGCCTCACGGCGGAACATTGTTCTTCTTCCACGGAGGCATCCGTCCCGTGCCCCCGTGGGTGACCCAACTTCGGGTGCCCACGGGCCTTGTTCGCCGCGTGAAACGACACGGCCTGCAACCCATATGGAAACTAAGTAGTTGAGAGGTTGTGTCCTTCACGGAGGCATACGGAGGCCACTTTTTGAGAAGACAAGCATCCTATCACTTACTCAGTCAGTCAAAAGACCATTAATAGTGCAGAAGAACCCACGAAAGAAGTCTGTCGTGATGTCTAGTGCTCCTTTCGGTTCCCTGTCGGGGGTGCTTTTCATCCTTGCCCTTGATCCTCCGAGAAAGACCCCTTTAGATCCAACCCTCTTACCATCTCTTATCTATCCCTGTGGGTCAGGAAAGAACAGTTGACCCGGTGCTTGACCCTAACACACCAGTTTGGGCGGTTTATGTTTCAGCTAGGCAGCTAGCTTATGTTTACACTTCCAAGATGTTGGATGTGTTCAAGCTTCGTTTGGTGGTGACGACTGCTGTTATATAGCTGTTGGCTCCAGAGACGGCCCCGTATCGGCCTGAAACGTTGTTTCCCTCCTCGCTGAGCAGCGGAACGGGCACCAAGCAACGCGTGGCAAACCGACGGAGGGGTCCAGCTCTATGATTCTCTAGGGCTCCCTCTTTGGGGTGTCTACAAATAGATCCATAGAGGTTACACTCCCGACAACTAACATGGACCCGGGTCGGATGGCACCCGAAAGACTGTTATCCTCTGCAAAACGGTGGTTTTCAACGTCCATATGAGTTTTCAATGGGGTAAGAGCCCCGGTGTCCAGTCACCACCCAACCAAATCCTGTGGGTCCTGGTAGATGGCCAGACCTAGGCCCTTGGTTGGTAGATTGTTAAATGGAATATACCCCAAGTGTACAACGGGTATACCAAACCGACCGCTTGATTCCTCCCAAAAGGACATCATTGGGGCGACCATTTGTCAAAATACATGGACATACTATGACACATTCGATCAGTCATAAAAGGTCTCCTCAACAAGGTCGTTGGGCCCAAAGAGGCTCACGTTATGACCTGTTCGAGGGCTGGTATATTATTATTATATATTATATATATATATATATTTGATACACTTTGACTCACTGACATAGGAGTGGATGGCATGGTCCCTTGGAAGACTACTTTCCTTTACGAATAGGTGTGTGTAGTGACTCGGATTGTATACATAGTATCATCATTGTGGCAACTCGCATGGCCACCAGGTCTGGTGTTGCATTCGATCTTCTGTTGAGAGACCAAGGAGTACTCCCAGTTGATCCCAGGCTTCCACGAGTAGCACGGAACCAGGGAACTCTCGTACGTGACCGGCGAAGTCGGCGAAATGTGGCGAAGTCGTCGAACTGGAACCGGTGATGCGCTGGATCCGCTGGAACTGATATGTACATATATATATATGTACTTAGACCATACGGATTCTTATTTAGGCTCGCCTCTTTTGCTTTTCCTCGGATCTATGTACTCCTGGCTGGATTTTTTTGTGGACCTCTTGCCAATTTGCTGCACCTTTCCCAAATCGGTAGCTGCATGGACGCATCCATGCAGTCACCACTCTCACCGAAAACATCCAACAGGTTTTCAGCACTGGCAAAACCGATGTACCATCCTCCCATCCATCGTCTCAATTGAACAAGGCGCACCAAAGGTCGCACCAAACCTTTGGTGCATGAAGTGGCTCTCTCCCGGTAAGACCCCCAGGTGTCATAGAAAATCGGCGGCTCGGTGGATGCGGTTGGTCAGTTGGACAAGCCCAGGCAATCATGGAGGTGGTGGTCCAGGCCGCGAGTGAAGTGCCCCAGGGCTGTTTCGTCTCCGTCCGCCTTGGAGAACATCTCAAGCAGTGCCTTGGAGAGGCATTTTTTTGGAGGAAACCGCGAAAGATGGGCGGCTTGAAGGGAAAGACGTGTCACAGGTGAGAACTACCATGTATAGCTGCTTCTGCCAGACCTCCACCAGATCCGTACGATTGGGGAGCCCGTGAGGAGGTTCGCCATGTAAGATATGATCCCAAATACTCTCTCGATCAGAAGGTATATACCAGGGCCCCCTAAGGGGTGGTGAATAGACACCCATTAACCTCAAAGGAGCTATTGTTGGTAGGGAATGGTTTGTTAATTATAGTTGTGGCTATTGAACCCTCCACTCACTTGACAGACACTTCTTTCCAAGCGTCGACGGACGATACACCACGACCCTGCCCCAGGTCATAGGATCCACGTCCAGCCCGTCCTATGGCTGCAGCCCAGAAAGTCATCGATCCGATGCATGAAGGAAAGCACATCACGAACATGTCTACGGGGTCATCACGGGGTCTACGGGGTCGGCTGGCCCCTAGGCGGCGCTTCAATAAGAACACGGCCACCTACTACTTCCCAGCGGTTGAGGAGAGATGTGGATGTGGCTTGGGACCGATGGTCAGGTGATTTGAGGAATTGGATAGGGCGCCTCGTACAAGGAAGGCTTCAAGAGATACATTGCATACACCTAGGATGTGGCCCACTAAACTAGAAACAGTCGGTAAAAGAGTAACACAATTTCTTGAGAAAGGCCTGCAACCTAACCATCATCATCCACCATCCTGGTTTTGCTCAAGGTGATTAGTTATTTTGCTGTCGGTAAATATGGGTGAATCATAGTTTTTACGGTTTCTATTTCTTACCGGTTCCGCAAATGCGAGCTGTTAGCTTAATGGGATATATGGATGTATTATGGTATATTGATGTATATTGTGGTATACTATATATATACACGGTATTGACCAAAGCGCAGCCTCAGACCTGAGGGTATAGATGGGTCCGAGGTGTTGCATGTTGTGTCTTTCAACACAGGTCTCCGTTCTCTCGGACTGCGAGTTCTCGGGCGGCCAGCGGTTGGTGTTTTCTGGAACAGTTGGGAACCAACCAACGTGTTTCCACAGCCGGTTGGGCTTTGCAGCGGACCATAGCCAGACCCGTGAGTCTCAAACGACGACGGGAGTCTCAATCTGGATCGGTTTCGTGACCTTCGATCGTCCCGTCGCGTCCAACAAGATCAAATCCATTGGAACCCGCTTGTACCAATTCCGTTGGAAAACAGATACTGGAGACCGGGACCATTGGACATCGCCTGGGATTCTTCGAATGGACAGGTACTATACCGGATAGCTGACCTTATATGGTAGAAGCCAGATGCCT